GTGTGTCCTTCCAAGTATCCCTGCACCTCCTGCAGGTGCAGTGCTGATCCATGCATGTTCCTCCCTTTCCTGGGGAGAGTGTCTCCTTGTTGTTGTTTTTTTCCAGATCTTCCAGCAGCCACTAAGTCTTCCCTCTGATGTCTTCAGCTTTCTCTTTTCTGCCCCTCCCAGCAGACGAGGCTGCTATTCCTGAGGAAATGAGAGGAGGTGGGAGATGAGGCTGTCATTTGTAAGAGAATGGACAGAGTTTTGGAGTTTTTCTTTCTTCTATCCCAGCTTCTATGAGTTCCTCCAGTGCCAGCAACACAGAGGTGTTAGTGTCTTTGCCCCTGCAGGTAAAAGCTTTGGTAATGTAGTGGTGGCAGAGGAGGTGGGTCTGGATGCATTTCAGCCACAGCTGCTCTTCCGTTTCCCACACAGAAGCATCTCGGGAAGTAGAGAGTGGAGATTTTTGCGACTTATCCTCAATCCTGGGAGAAAAGGTTTCAGTAGCAGTAGGAATCCCTCAGTTGTGAGTGCTCTGAGGATTTAAACAATAACTTCATTACATTAAATTTTAAATACTCTAAAGAAAATGTCCAATTTAATCTTGTTTTATCTTATATGACATTTGCTGGCCTCTGCCACAGATAAGGTCATATTCTCTTTCTGTTTGTTTTTGTAAGTCACTGAGCTTCTCAAGATGTAACGTCTCTTGTTTGTCCCATAACATCAATAATCTGATGTACTAAAGAAAATATGCCAATTTGCAGCTCAGTAAGGTCAGTTGTAAAAGTAACATACTTTTCTTGGATGCCTATATCTCCAGGCTGAGTATAAACTTCATTTTTAATATTAAAAACTAGAAATAACACGAATATTATGGTGTTTTATAAATAAGTAATAGAGGTGCTCTCATTAACTGCAATGCTGCTCCTCATAAGAATCAACACATTTTTTATACACAACGAAATTACTGACTCACAAGTTAGGCTGAGGAAGAAACCACAGAAATGAAATTGAAACTACAAGATTTCACTTTAACAAATCTTGAAAAATAGATCTAAAGTAGCAAAGATGAAAGTCTGTCTCAGTATAATCAGAGGGAAATGACTGGGAGGCAGGAATTAGAGGAACAGGAGGAAGTTTTTAAGTGTAAATCATTGGTATCTTGATTGTTATATTGGCTGCACAGGTGAGCACACGTGAAATGACATGTTTCCTTTGGAGACATGGTCTTGCTTTGTCATTCAGGCTGGAGCCCAGTGGTGAGATCGTAGCTCTCTGCACCCTCAGACCCTGGGTCTGCAGCAATCCTCCTCCCTCTTCCTTGCATACCTGGGACCACAGGTGTGCGCCACCATGCTCGGCTTCACTGCTAATTCAACTGCACACATTAACTATGCAATATTTATTATAAAGCAATAATGCCTCAATAAGGGTATTGCCAATAACTTGATGGGTAATTTGTTAGATATTTATGGAAAGATAGACACCAATATAAAATATGTATGACACTCGAGAAAATAAAACTGTAGGAAACATGCTTTTCTTTACATTTATCAGGTAATCACAACAGTGAATACACATCACACCATGTTCTCATTACAAAGAAAAGGTTCTGCAAACCTCACTAGGTGCCACCACTGTGTGCTGGGCTTGGTTCCGGGAGAAGTCGGGTCCAGTGGTGAGAAGCACAGGCTCAGACACCCAGGCACACTCTGACCAAATGTGAGCTCTGGGGACATTGTACAACCCACATGTGCTTTTGCTGGTAATTTTCACCTGTAACATGGAAATAACAGTGATACCACATACCATGTTTTCTCTGCATATGTAAAAATAAAAGATGATTGGTGCTAACTTGAAATACATTTGGTTTATATAGATCTATTGTACCTCAATAAAATTGTTTTAAAATAGAAATTAAAATATGTATGTTTTATAGGTTTTAAGGGTTTATCACAGAACAAACCTACAATAAGAAACCACAATTTTCCAATACTATCAATGTCACAAATCTCCACCAGGACACTGTCCCGTGCTCTGAGCCCCGCTGTCTCCTCAGGCCTCTCAGCCCACAGCTTGCTATATAGCAGGAGACATGCAAATAGAGCCCCCCCTCTGCTGATGACAACCAGCCCAGCCCTGGCCCTGCAGCTCTGGAAGAGGAGCCCAGCCCTGGGATTTTCAGGTGTTTCCATTTGGTGATCAGGACTGAACACAGAAGATTCACCATGGAGTTTGGACTGAGCTGTGTTTTCCTTGTTGCTATTTTAAAAGGTAATTCACGGAGAACTATTGAAATTCAGTGTGAGTGATAAGAATTAGATAAATGATGGATATTTGTGGCACTTTCTCACCAGGGTTTCTTTTTGTTCGCCAGTGGCCAGTGTAAGGTGCAGCTGGTGGAGCCTGGGGGAGGCTTGGTCCAGCCTGGGGGGTCCCTGAGACTCTCCTGTGCGGCCTCTGGATTCCCCTTCAGCAGCTCTCACATGGACTGGGTCCGCCAGGCTCCAGGGAAGGGGCTGGAGTGTGTCTCATACATTAAGTATAATGGGAGTAGCACATAGTACTCGGACTCCGTGAAGGGCCGATTCACCATCTCCAGAGACAACGCCAAGAACTCGCTGTATCTGCAGATGAGCAGCCTGAGAGCCCAGGACACGGCCGTGTATTACTGTGCGAGACACAGCGAGGGGAGGCCCGTGTGAGCCCGGGCACAAACCTCCTGCAGGGACACTTGGAGGAATCAGCTGCAGGGGGCACTCAGGACCCACTGATCAGAGTCAATCCCACAGGCAGGTGCAGATGGAGGCTGATTTCCTGTCAGGATGTGGGACTTCATCTTCTTCTTACAGTTTCTCTAGTGAATCTCTCCAAGTTTATAATTCTGTGTTTCCTAATATTATCTCTACCTTTTTTAGAAAAGATTGTTTTAACATGAGGATCTATTCTCACATGCACCAAACGTAGACGACGCTTACAGAGATTAAAAGTTCTCAACCATGTTCACCAGCATCAGAGACCTGAGGAAGCTCAGGGGTTCCTAATGAGTCTTCTCCAATCAGACAGAGGACAGAAACCTCAAGGAGATTCCCAGAATCAATAGAGAGGCTGGGTCAGTGTCAGCATCTTGTAGAACCTCACAGGTTTCACGTCTCACCCTTCTCCTGACACTAAAGCCAATGGACATCAGCAGTGACCTGGGGCTCCTTTGCTCCCCTCTGTGTTCTTCCTTCAGAGTGTTTGTTTTTCCTCTTTTATTTTCTTTTCCTGCTTTCTAATATATAAACAGATGGTCCCTGTGGTCTACATTCCGGGCCTCAAGGCATTTTCTTGGAGCGCAGGTGGGGCTCAGGCTGTGGCTCCTGCAGCCACGTGGGAGAGGGTGACGGGGCTTCCTTCTCTCCCCATTTGCTCAGGACCGTTTGCTGTGTTGTGTGTAGACTCATCTGGGAGTGCAATTGGTTGTTAATAGTGAATGGGATGAACTTATTTGATCTAAATGGTGTGTGGCTGTGGAATTAACCCTGTTCTATGCAAACTGTCAGAGTCATCTGCTTCAGAAGTAGTGTTAGAAAGAGCTTGTGAAATGTATTAGAATCAAAATGGAGCCACTTGTGTTAAAACCCCAATGAATGAAACTGGGGAAGACCATGAAGGAGGGTCTAACACACATACTCCTGATAGCAAGAACTGTCATAAATAGACTCTGCACAGCCACAACCTTGCACAGAGGCCACCACCATCTTTTCTATTTTTCTTTTCTTGTCTTTTTTTTTTTTAGAGATGGAGTTTTACCCTTGTTGCCCAGGCTGGATTGCAATGTTGCAATCTCGGCTCACCAGAACGCCTGCCTCCTGGGTTCAAGCGATTCTCCTGCCTCAGTCCCAAGCAGCTGGGATGACAGGCATGCGCCACCACACCCAGCTAATTTTGTAGTTTTAGTAGAGATGGGGATTTCTCCATGTAGGCCAGGCTGGCCTCAAACTCCTGACCTCAGGTGATACACCTGACTTGGCCTCCCAAAATTCAGGGATTACAGGTGTGAGCCACTGCGCCTGGCCCAGGCCACCATAATCTTAAAAGAATTACTTCTCTAAATGTACCTGCCCAGCAACTGCCTATTAACCTTATACCAATGTCATTAAGTATGGTAATAGATATGGCTTTTCATAGTGACTTTTATCCTGTACAGGTTATATTCATTTGTTCCTACTTTTTAGAGTTTTTATTATGAAATCTTGATTTTTAAATGTTATTTTCTGTGTCTAGTGAGAAGTTAATGGAAATTTTTTCATTATTCTCTTAATTAAGCACACGAAATGTATTGAATTGAGGATGTTGAGTCATCCATGCATCTCAAAAATAAATTTAAGTTTGCTCTGGTGCATAACTCCCTCTTTTTTATTTTTTTGAGACAGAGTCTTGCTTTGTTGCCCAGGCTGGAGTGCAGTGGTGCAATCTTGGCTCTCTGCAATCTCTGCCACACAGGCTCAAGTGATTCTCCTGCCTCAGCCTCGCAAATAGCTGGGATTATAAACATGTACCACCACACCTGGCTAATTTTTGTATTTTTAGTAGAGATGAGATTTAACATGTTGGCCATGCTGGTCTTAAATGCCTGACCTCAGGTGGTTCATCACCTCACCCTCCCAAAGTGCTGGGATTACAGGTGTGACTCACTGCACCCAGTCAGCGTATGATCCTTTTAAAGTCCTCTAGAACTTAGTTGACTATTACTTGGGAGTGGTTTATTTATACATACTAAGAATATTTGAAGTTTAACTTTCTTCTTTTGCCATTGTCTATTACTGGTAATATGGTTATTGTAAACTTTTAGAGAGAGTTTAAAAGGTTGGAGCCTCACCAATTTTTGAAAAAGTTAGAGAACAGTTGGCATTATTATTTTTTTAATTTAGAAATTCATTTTTTATCTAACATACAACCTATCATGAAGAATATTTATTGTGTGCTTGGGATGCATATTACACTGCTCTTGGTTGGAAGGTTCTGTAGATGTCTGTTAGGTCAGTTTGTTCAATAGTGTTGGCTAAATCCACTGCCCTCCTAAGAATTTTTTGTGGATGTTCTATACATTATTAAGGGTGAGGTGTTGAAGTCTCCTCCTTTTTATTGTTTTCTATTCTACCTTCATTTCTCTTAAAGTTGATTAATACAGTTATATTTCTATTTTTACAAGTATGTAAAATAGAAATAAAATAATCATTGCTTAGTAATTTTAATGGGAAAATCACATAATAAGAAATTATGTTTCCCAAATGCTGCCATCACCACTACACACCTCCAGCAGTCTCATGTCTGCTCTGGGCTTTGCTCTCTACTCAGAAGGCCCACCTCAGAGTTTGCTACAGAGGAGGAGACACAAATAGGACCCTCCCCCTCCTGATGAGAACCAGTCCAGCCCTGACCCTATAGCTCTGGAGAAAAGCCCCCATCCAGAATTACCAGGAATTTTGATTTGATGATCAGCTCTGAACACAGATGGCTCACCATCAAGTTAGGGCTGAGCTGGGTTTTTCTTGTCGCTATTTTAAAAGGCCAATAATGGAGAACTAGAGATATTGAATGTGAGTGGATATGAGTGAAAAAACATGATTATATGCTACAGTTTCTTACCAAAATGTCTCTATGTTTGTAGGGTTAGGGTGAGGTGCAGGTGGTGGAGTCTGGGGAAAAGGCAAGAGGCAGAAAAGTGCGTAGGAGGCCGGGTGAGGCTGTAGACAGTATCAGCCCACTATGCCATTCCAAGAAGCTTGATGTGAGAGCCTCCAGGATTGAATAACTTGACAGCTCATGTGCCCAGGCAGTTTCAATTCTCAATTTTCCAAACTGATATATCCAGAAAGTCAGCTTCGCTTCCCAGGTGACTCCCATCATGCAGTGAATGGTGACAACATTCCCAGGGGTCACACATATGTGTTAAATATTGGTTGGATGTGGGGAAGAGACATCTTTGCAACTCTCCTCTGAAGGACTAGGAACACTTCAACAGGCCATCTCCCCTGTCCTCATGACTAGAACTTCACCACATGCCCACATAGACACTCATCTCTGATGGGGATAAAAAGACTCCATTGATGAAACAGACTGTTTTATTATATAAAATTACTAAAGACTGACATAAAATTTTCAAAACTAATTGAAGTCTGTTATTCTATGTCCACCAGAGACTACAGATCTTCCTATGGTATCTCCCTAGGAGAAAACCTAGGCAATAACATTCAGGACATAGGCATAGGCAAGTATATCATGACCACAACACCAAGGGCAATGGCAACAAAAGCCAAAATAAACAAATGGGATCTAATTAAACCCCAGAGCTTCTGCACAGCAAAAGAAACTATCATGAGAATGAGCCAGCAACCAAGAGATAGGGAAAAAATATTTGCAAGCTACCCATCTGACACACGGCCAATATCCAGAATCCGTAATAAACTTGAACAAATTTACAGGAATAAAACAACCCCATCCAAAAGTGGGGAATGGATATGAACAGACACTTTTCAAAAGAGTATATTTATGCCACAAACAAACATATGAAAAAATGCTCATCATCACTGGTCATTAGAGAAATGCAAAGCAAAACAAAACCGCATTGAGATACCATCTCACACCAGTTAGAATGGCAATCATTAAAAAATCTGGAGACAACAGATGCTGGAGAGGATGTGGAGAAATAGGAACACTTTTACACTGTTGGTGTGAGTGTATATTAATTCAAACATTGTGGAAGACAGTGTGGCAATTCCTCAAGGATCTAGAAATAGAAATACTATTTGACCCAGCAATCCCATTACTGGGTATATACCCAAAGGATTATAAATCATTCTGTTATAAAGACACATGCATATGTATGTTCATTGCGACACTTTTTACAATAGCAAATACTCAGAACCAACCTGAATGCCCCTCAGTGATAGGCTGAATAAAGAAAATGTGTCACATACACAACATGGAGTACCATGCACCCATAAAAAAGGATGATTTCATGTCCTTTGCAGGGGCATGGATGAAGCTTGAAACAATCATTCTCAGCAAACTGACACAAGAACAGAAAACAAAAGACTGCATGTTCTCACTCATAAGTGAGTGTTGAACAATGAGAACATATGGACACAGGGAGGGATTGGGGGGACTGGGGGGTGGGGAAACAGGGGGTGCGGGGATTGGTGAGGGATAACATTAGGAGAAACACCTAATGTAGATGAAGGGAGGATGGATGTAGCAAACTATTGTGGTGTGTATACTTAGGTAACAATCTTGCATAATCCGCACATGTACCCCAGAACTTAAAGTATAAAAAAAAAAGAAAAAAGTGATTTCACCTCTTAAAAAAAGCATTTACACTTAAAAAATGGGATGAAGTGATA